TAGGTTCAACTCGGAGTATATTTATGAAACATTTTATTATATTCATAACAAAAGTAAAATTTATAGATTTTATAAAACGATTTTGAAAATCTGTTAAAATGGAATACTTAACTGTAAATAGTTTTGTTATAAAACTGCGATAAGAAAAACCTTATGGAATAATTGGGTTATTAAGTCTGGCACGTTCACTAGTTACTTTCTATGGAAGGCTAAAAAATCGTTATCCTAAAATAATTCAAGTTTTTCTCATTAATGTTAAAACATCCTTCTGTTGTAACATATCCTCGTTGTTGCCTAATTGGCTATGTTGGAACATGGACCATTGGCCGGTCCTGTCTTAGTTCGTTTGGTTGGCTGTCCCTGTAACATTCTCAAGTCGTGTCTTCGCTTTCTGTCTCCTATCAGCTTCATGGCAGTATTATTGTCTCTGGTTTTAGGAAGTAGGCAGATACCTGCAGAGTGGTATAAGGGTTAGTGCGGGTGTAAAATATATGAGGAGGTAGTTAGCAATAAAACAACACTGTCGTTAAGCTTATGTATAATTACCAAATCAGTAGCGTAGCCAGGATAGTCTCATGGGGGGGGGGGGTGTTCACATTTTTTTTTAGCAGTATATAACCCAGGGACAAACTTTCGATTTGCACCCCCCTCCAACTTTTGATTTGCATCCCCCCCTCAAACTTTCGATTTGCACCCCCCCCCCTTAAACGTTTTATTTCCACCCCCCCCCCTCAAAATTTCGATTTGCACACCCCCCCCCCCCGACCTTAAACTTTTAATTTCCACCCCCCCCCCCACCCCCCACCCTCAAACTTTCGATTTACACCCCACCCCCCTCAAAATTTCGATTACACCCCCCCCCCCCCCGCTCAAACTTACGATTTACACCCCCCTCAAACTGTATATATATACCGAGGGGTCTATGGAGGGGGGGGGGAGTATGACCCCCCCCTAACCCCCCCCCCTGCCTAGGCCACTGAACCAAGTTCCTAGGCGATGAAACAGGATTTGATTGGACGCTCACGATAGAGGCGCATAAACGGGAAAACGTGAATTATATGGAACCAGCTTGACTTTAGATCAGATGAAAAGCCAAAGTTTTAATTTAAACTTTATGGAACCGACATAACCATATCTCATAAAAAGCGAAAGGTTATATGTGAACTGTACAACAACAATTCAATTTAATTTGTTTTTGAAACAAAAGTTTGAAAATTTAAAAAAAATGATTATGTTAATAAAAGAAAATTTAAACTGAAATTTAGAAAAAAAAATGTCATTTTTTAAAAGAATCTTATTTTATGTTAGATATTTTGGTAGTTTTAGGAAGATTAATATAATCATATCTGTGTTAAAAAAATGTGTTATTGTATATATTTATCCAGATAAATGCTGAATAAAAAAATGCTGAGTCTTCTAAATCTGGTAGCGTCCCCCCAAATACAGAACGATCTTTAATTTATTTTAACTTAATTTCTTTTCACAAAATGGAACCCAATTTAAGGAGGGGAACCTCGCTAAAAATGAAAATTTCGTAAAATACATATCGTTATGTGAAAATGGCTACGGTGAATTAACTATGGGTGTCTAGTAAGTAATGTATTGCGTTTTATAATAGTGTACTACTGTATATAAAAATGTAGTGTACTACTGTACATAGAAATGTTTGTACTTCAAGATAGTGATTCTATTATAGTGATATAAATCTGTATGTTGGTCTGTATGGTGGTCTGTATGGTGGTCTGTATGGTGGTCTGTATGGTGGTCTGTATGGTGGTCTGTATGGTGGTCTGTATGGTGGTCTGTATGGTGGTCTGTATGGTGGTTTGTATGGTGGTCTGTATGGTGGTCTGTATGTTGTTCTGTATGGTGGTTTGTATGGTGGTTTGTATGGTGGTCTGTATTGTGGTCTGTATTGTGGTCTGAATGGTGGTCTGTATGTTGTTCTGTATGGTGGTCTGTATTGTGGTCTGAATGGTGGTCTGTATGGTGGTCTGTATGGTGGTCTGTATTGTGGTCTGAATGGTGGTCTGTTTTATCTTTAGCTTACGTTAACACATCGTAAACGTCGACATTTCCGAACAAACTGTAGAAAGACGTCGTCAGTTGGAACATTGTCACTGTCTATGTCGCCCTCTAGCTTCACCAAGCTCTTTCTGTGGACAAAATGGGTATGTGTTAGTTGTTTCCCTTGAGCTAGAGTTATCTTCCCTATCCTAGTTTACTAACGACTAAGCAGGCAGCAGTTGATTTGAGTATATGTCTAAATATCTAGCTGTATTTGACGCTGTTGGGCTTGAAGTGGGGGGAAAGGGATAGAAAATGGTAGGTTGCACTCTCAATCAAGAGCAGATTAAATATATAGTATTATATAGTCTACTAGCCATACCGGCCCTGTACTGACATTTGTGGTAAAATTTATATGTAAACAGCCGTGACTTATGTACTCATTAAACTTCATATACCCTTTACTGAATGGTATTTGGGAATTTATAAAATTATCCATTAAAAATGTTATTAGTGTATACACATTTTTTAGTTTGATCATTATAGTAGAGATACAATTTTCCCTGATGTCGGAACATGTACATGTTATAAAGGGTGACTGCTTTACTGTATACGTTGTTTAAGAACAAAAATTAGTATACTACTTAAATTGCCACGTTATAGAGAAGGCTATGGGGTCATCCATAAATTACGTCACGCTTTTTTGACGATTTTTACCCCCCCCCCCCCTCCCCTCCGTCACACGTCGTCAGAAAAAGCCATACCTCCCCCGTAAAATGAGGTCACACTTCAACCTACAACTCCCCCCCTCAAAATTGCTTGTCAATTTTTCTTAAAACAACGACATTTTTCCAAAATCTATTACCATTTATTAAAACTGTTTCTAAACGCGGAGTAACGGCTAAAACGCGGAATAACGGCTAAAACTCGTTTACTAACATTGCTTTTTTTATAATGCAAAAGTGTGATGTAACACCATCTGAGCCGCCCCCCCCTCCCCCCTCATCACACACCGTCACAAAATTACGGACCCCCCCCCCCTCCCATCTGCGAGTGTAACGTTATTTATGGGCGAAACTAATTTTTTTCAAAATGTTGACTTATCAGGTTTTGTAATGGGCCTCAGATCTCGGTTATTAGAGATAGTTTAATTTTCACACCTGTGAAAATTATTTTCTTTTATCCACATGCTATAATCGTTTATTTTCGTGTGTAATCAAAGAACTGGGGAAATTAAAAGTTAAAATTCCTGACGCAGTTATATCCCTTTATGTAGGTATAATAGGGCTGGTAAGTAGGTCACCAACCAGTTCTATGGTTCATGCAGGATTTATTGAGCCGTAGAACTGGTTGGTGACCTACTTACAAGCCCTAATGCGCGATAAAACTTCATTTTTTATTTATTTTCACACCTTTATGAAAAAATTTAGCATAAATTTTAAAAGATTTTTTTTTACTTCCAAACGTTTTCTTATTTATTTTTTCGTGTAGACAAAGAACGGGGTAAATTAAAAGTTTACATTCCTGAGGTTCTTAGGTCCCTTTAATATCTCCTTACCAAAAATGAACAATTTGTCGCTTCTGTAGGTGGTGGATCTTATTCAAGCCGCGGTCAGTTTAGGTCAGTGTTCGGTCACTTTAAAACTCGATTATTTAAATGACTCTAATTTTCTCGTTAAAAAGAGAGTGAATGGCAAACTTTGTCAAGAACGATTTCCCTACAAATTACCTGCAAGTACCCGATATAATAGTTGTTAGCAACAAACAAACCAAACATCACTCACTGTGCTTTCATGGAATTAGATATATATATATATATATATATATATATATATATATATATATTATATATATATATATATATATAATATATATATATATATATAATATATATATATATATATATATATATATATATATATATATATATATATATATATATATATATATATATATATATATATATATATAAATATATATATAAAGCAATGTATGTGTGTGTGTGTCTGTCTGTATGTCTTTTATGCATTACCACGCCTCTTATCACATCGCCGTCGAACTTTGGGCCGTCGTCAGGGCGCGATTTGTTTCTTCTCTCTTTTGGTATATAAATATAAAAGTCGATTTTGATTTGACACCGCTTATCCGATAGGCATGAAACTTTGGGGAGTTCATTATAAAACTCTAGGGAAAGTTTTTGTAAAAAATAATTTTTAATTTCGCAAGGGCAGTGCCACGGGAGGGTGCGATTTTTCTCAATGTACGGTATATAAAAATAATAAAAGTGAATTGCGGTGACACCGTTAACACGATCGCCATAAAACTTTCGGAAGATGTTGAAAATATTCATGGGGAGGTTTCTGCGCTAAAAACATTTTCAAATTTGCAGGGGTAACGCCCTGATAGGGCGCGATTTGTTTTCTCTCTATATATGGTATATAAAATAAAAGTCGATTGCGGTCTCAAAACGTTCATCCGATAGCCATCAAAGTTCAGGGACTTGATTAGAACACTCCAGGGAAGGGTTCTGTAAAAAATCATTTTTAATTTTGCAAGGGCGGCGCCACGGAATGGTGGGATTTTTCTCAATATACGGTATATAAAAATAAAAGACAATTGCGGGTCGACACAATTTATCCCGGTGCCATACAACTTTAGGGAGTTGATGAATACACCTGAGAATGTTTCTGGGGTGGGAGGGGGGAATAGGGATGGGTGGGTGGTGTGGGCGCGGAAATTTAATTTTGCATGGGCGGCCCCCCGGCAGGATGCGATTTGGCGCCCTGGTCTTTCCCGTCAGCGCTATGGTGACTACGTTCGGCCTAAACAGTGTGATAGACAATTGAATCAGGCGTATCCTCCGCCGCCCTGGTAGGGTGCGATTAGGCTGCAAAAAAAAATGTCTGTTTCGGCCCCAAAAGGCTCACATGTGCCGCTGATGGCCATGTAATACGTTTTGTTTTAATAATAAGAAATTAAACAAGGCTAGATTATTAACTAGGATGTTTTTTTTTTGTCCGTAAAAAAAATCCAAACAATTTCGCCACTTTGCAAATGATGCAATTAGCATCTATTTTTAGATAATCCAATCAGAAATTCAGATCGAGCCTCTCAGAATAGAACATTAGTAACGCTAACATATTGCATCAGTCACATTGATGTTTAAAACACGTCAAATAATTTTTTTACGTGTTATATAACAAATCCTGTTCATTTGCGTCATTTAAGTGAATGACGCAATCTGCATCATTGTTAACAGGATGCTATTTGGCATGATGACGCCTGTTAGTTTTAAGGAGCCAGGGGCCGTACGCGGCGCCTATGCGGTAGTGTAATCTGGAAGGGGGAGGTGGGGTCCTGAGAGCTTACTTTACATCCCTGACACATTGGCGGTCACCGAAGTGTGTTCTACCTCATTATTTAGGTGCGTTATTAATGTACACTCAAGGTTTTCATGCGGTAGTGTAGGTAAACCCGTGCCCCGAGATTTATGATCCAAGCGCAGGCATTGTTTACATTGAAATAACTCACTTTTAGAAAACAAGATCATGCGTCTAAGAATATAGGATTGGTAACGCATAGATAAAACCCTTCTTACATATTTCGTCGGATTTTCTTCTATTCCCGCGGCAACGCGCAGGGACGGGTACGCTAGTGTATATATTTATATATATATATATATATATATATATATATATATATATATATATATATATATATATATATATATATATATATATATATATATATATATATATATATAAAATTGTTTTGAGACACGAACAATTTGACATACGACCATTCGTATATCGAGTTTATATATATATATATATATATATATATATATATATATATATATATATATATATATATATATATATATATATATATATATATATATAAACTCGATATACGAATGGTCGTATGTCAAATTGTTCGTATCTCAAAACAATTTTCCCATTCACATTATATGAAGAATGTCTCCCTGCTGTTTTTGTTTGAATAAGAAAAGGTATCTATAATTAGAAAGTGATGTAAAGAAATGTACGAAAGGAGAATGTAAAAAATTATACTGGTTTTGTAAAGCGTATATTCTTTGGAAATCATCCGACTACAGCTTACTCAAGATGCTGAGGGAAGTGTTGGGCAGAGGCGCTTTACTTCTCTACACTGATGGTGCTAAACTCTTTCCCTCACCTTAATTCAAGTACAATTAATGCTACACTTGATCACTAAAGTTTATCGAGCTTCACTAAAATGTTACGGCTAATTTATTTTTTCTTTCGCTTAACTAAAACATATAAACAGAGACACATCATGTGACGTAGTTCAGTTGACCGAGGAGATCAGGTGACCTAACAACTCTCCCAAGGTCAACCACGTAACTAAATAATATAAATAAAGAAAAGACCTAAGTGGGTCACATAGGTGTGAGTAACAAACAAACAAACAAACAAACCAAACAACACCCTCTAGATAAACTCAAGATACGAATGTAATATGTGCCGTAGTAGTCGTCGTATGCTGTTTTTGTTACAAATACTTAATAAGAAAAGTATTTATAAATAAAATGTGATGTAAAGAAACATACGAAAGGAAAATGTAGAAAATATTAAGCTGGTTTTGTAAAGCGTATATTCTTGGAAAACAGCCGACTAGAGCTTACTCAAGATGCTGAGTTAGGTGATAGGCAGAGGCGCTTTACTTCTCTACACTGCTGGTGCTAAACTCTTTCCCTCACCTTAATTCACGTACAATTAATGCTACACTTGATCACTAAAGTTTATCAAACTTCACTCAAATTCATTGAACATTGTTGAACATGTTACGGCTAATTTCTTTTTTCTTTCGCCTAACTAATACATATAAACAGAGACATATGCACATAAACGCCAAAACATAGACAAACACGAACACGATAACTCATAAATACGTATACACAGTAAAATACACCCATGACAAACACACTTTCACACATACTCTCATACTTGTCTCTAAACCTACCTGAAGTTATCGGCGATATATTCCAACACATCATCCAGTTCGTAAAAACTTTCCAACAAGTTGATCTTGTAGACGGGCAACACGGGGTCCAGTATTTCAAAATCAGAAGCCTCTAATATGTCGAAGTCAACATAAAACGCTACTTTCATTGCTGGACAAGCTTCTTTCTGGAAATATCAAGAAGAGGAAACGATATGGACAGAGAAACGCCGAGAGGGAAAGGGAAAGTGAGAGAGTAAGAGAGAAACACTAAACTTCAGTTCCTTCCGCGACAGAATAGAGAAAAGCTAATAATTTCTATTTAAAAAATAGATAATTAATCAGTGCCCCCCCCCCCTTCGTTATATTAAGTGCGCCCCAACCCTGTAAAAAGATATTAACAAATATTTAGACACCACCTCCTCCCCTATTATTCTAACTAACCTATTATCTCTGATATCTGATTAGGGTACCACTAGAGATAATATATTTCACAGTAATATACCATCATGGCTACAGGACATACGATCTCAGACAAAAATATCCTAGACAAAATATCTCAGGACAATTTATCTCAGCAAAAATAATTTCAGACACAGTACCTCAAGTCCAAATATTTATAGTATTACGATGACCACCATTGCAGTCTCAGTACCAGCGCCTGCCTTTAACACCTTTTGAACGGGTGATACAAACATAAAATTAGAATACAAAAGTTTGAATACGTAGTCATTATTTACATACCAGGTTCACCCAGGCCTTTCTAGAGATCAGGTGTAGAGTAGTTCCATAAGGAATCCAACCCGCGACAAGTTTCAGTGTCTGCAGTTGTCCTGCATGTGATCTAGACAGTGAAGTCACGAAGTCATCAGTCAATAATATATAGTCAATCCCAAGTTTCGTCAAGCGGGTGAGAGATAAGATACCAGTGGTCAGTTGGTCAAGTTTAACCGGTTTCTCAGCCAACAAGCGTGTGTGGAAGAACCTGTATATGTCCAGCGACTGTAGGGTTCCTCTGGACGTGGTCAGCACTGTGTTGATGAGATTGTTGCCTTCTTCTATTGGCCATTGGCCATTGGTCATCTTGAAACATTGTAGACGGTCAAGTCTGGACACCAAACGCGTCATTTCCTTACTGATACCGGGCGTGGTTCTAGTTGACGCTTCTCGCATGTCTATGTCATTTATTTTTATTGACTTCAGTGTCGGATGACGTAAATCTTGCAAACATTTCCGGAAAACGGTGGCCAAGGAGCAGGAGTTTAGATGGCATTCATGGTGTTTGCAGACGGAGATTGACAATTCATACAAGTGGCTTCCGAAGCGTATAGCATTCGAGAAAGCGTTTTTAGTTTTCAAACATTTACAATCACAGCACAGTTTAAGGTGCATGTTCCTCCACAAAGTAGGCGTGGTGTAAATCAAATCCCTCCAAGATCTACACACACTGGCAAGCCTTAACAGCTCATTTTTGTTGTCAACAAATCTGAAGATGTTTACCAACACCACTGAAGGCAACTTGCCCAGAAAACTCGAGCCGTCTGATTGGCCATTTAAGTAGACGGTTAGACCGTCCATCTGACTCTGCTGATTAACTGCTGGCGATGATGCTTTAAAGCCACTTACCATATCGCAAATTATACTTCTCTTTGTCATTTTCCGAGCTCAATAGTCTTAGTTTTAAATTTGGTGGTGGGGACAAAATAGAATACAGTAATGAGTAAAGTTATTTTATGGACGCGCAAAAAACTGCTTCCTTCTATTGTGTCGTGCGCACCCGTGCAAAAGGTGCGCTTTATGTTGTGTGAAACATTCGGGTGCTGGTTCATATATTTTGTGAAATAATTTTTAGCGCAATTTCCATTCTGGAGAACGGCGTTTATTAACCCGTCATTTCTGGATGTATGGATGTATGAATGAATGAATGGATGTGTGTCCGCAGCTTTAAGCCGTATCTCCTCCTCAACGAAGCAATATCGAGGACTAGTTCCAAAGCATTTATGTTAAGCAAGATACAAGGATGAACATAGGCCAAAAAAATTCCGGGTTTCTTTCATGGATTTCCCGGAAAAGCCAAAAAAAAACCTCGAAAAAAATGCAGTTTTTGGCCCATATTTCGGCAACCAGACCACTTAGCGACTTGAAACATGTACCAATCGATTCCTGCCATAATTTAGAACAATATTGCCGAAGAAAGTTTTCAAAAATATCCTTTCGTTCGGTCACAAAAACATTTTTGAATTAATTTTAAATTCGGACCGAATTAGTAGGCATTTTTATCCAACCACACCACACGCGTCATCACGTTCAATAGCTGCGCCATCACGTTCAATGGCTGCGCCATCAAGTTCGGTAGCTAGGCGCGCAATGGTTTTTAGTCATGTAACTCTATTGTAAATAAAACATGTAAAATACTGAAAAAAATTAATAAAAAACGTTTTAATAACTAACCAATGGTTTTACTAACCCTGCTCTTGATTTACGCTACGACAGAGCTATTTTTAGATAACATAAGGAAATTGCGCTAAAATTGTCACTAGCCTTTTTAATTACCTTTTTTTCTGATATAGTGACGAAATTTAAAATGGTAATCAGTGTATTTACATAATACTTTACCATTTTCATAATTTTCATATTTGAATGAGTTTTATATTTCTTGTAACTTTGATGCGGCCTTGCATTTTGTAGACAAGAAGACGACATTTGGTCAAACAACGAGCTGACCCTGAATGTAAGAACACAAGGGCATGCCTCGTTGGCTCTACGTTGATGTTTCTAAATATAAGCTGTTTTATGCTGTTCTGGCCTGTTCTAAGTCTAACGATAATGTTGTTTTATATAGGCGTCGTACTTGCTTTAATTAGCATGTGAGAGCCAGACTAGATGCTGACTTGTTTTCTTTTTTTCCCACGTTTTCTTTAACTTGCTTTCTCTGTTTGTTTGTCTTTCCAATCAAATCTTGCGATCGAAATTTCTGGCACTTCCCAGTTAGCTAGCGCGCTGAAATTTTCAGGGAAGCTTTCTTTTGGATGACCATTGAATATTCAATTGTTATTATTACTAAATTGATCAATGGAAACATTTTATTGAGCATTTTAGACCGCTATATAATCTATATATATAATTCTCCTCTGCTAGCGTTAGAAAAAAAAACCAGCGACGCGTACCTCGCGCGCAGTGAAGCGAACGATCACATGTCGCCACAGGCTTAGGGGCAGAGAATTTAGCTTGAACCGAGTTTAAACTTACAGGAGGTAGGCCAGTTTGGGGGAGACGATATGGTCGAGTGGTTGGGCACACGATTGCTATCCCACTCGACACGGGTTCAAATCTATGTGTTTTAGTCAGTAACGTATTCAAACAACGTGTTTTTTACGAGTTGTCTTTTTACGAGTTGTCTTTTTACGAGTTGTCTTTTTACGAGTTGTCTTTTTACGAGTTGTCTTCGTTTACCCAAAAAAAGTGAAAAGATAAAATCGATAGCAAGATTTTAATGCAAACAAACAGACAAAGACTAAAAAGTAGAAAATAATAATCATTAAAAAAGTTTTAAAAAACCCACGTTTTCTGATTGAACTAAAAAGTAGAAAATAAATGCTATAGGCCCTACATCACAATAATGCAAGCGATCACTCTACTATAAGCGAGCAAAAACGTGGGGCGCCGTGATTTTCTTACAGTTTCTAATACTGTTGACTCTCTACAAGCTCCCTAATAAAAGTCAATAGTATTATCTAATCAATAGTAATATAACTTTTACTTCGGCGCCCCACGTTTTTGCTCGCTTATAGTAGAGTGATCGCTTGCATTATTGTGATGTAGGGCCTATAGCATTTATTTTCTACTTTTTAGTTCAATCAGAAAACGTGGGTTTTTTAAAACTTTTTTAATGATTATTATATATTTTTAAAATTTCTTTTGGTTGTATTGAAATCTCTTTGACCCCAATTTTAGCAAGAATTTCGGCGATCACATTTGCTTTTATATATATATATATATATATATATATATATATATATATATATATATATATATATATATATATATATATATATATATAATCATGCCCGTTACCTACTGAAGCACAGACGTGTTGCTGATATAGTTTAAGCTTTCTATGGCTGGCCTGGGATATTAGATAAAAGAGGCTTTTTTATTTCTCTGATACAGCAGGACAGAACTGGCATCTGTGAGAAGGACAATCTGATGAGGATTCAGTGTGACATATCTGGAGGTTATCTGCATGTTCCGTCGCTTCAATCTCTGCTCTAAAATTATCAGATAGGCTGTCTGTGGCAATAGATTTTTCTAGACTGTCATTCTTTGGCCAATGCTTTATATACCAGCACAGCCATTGCTGGTTAATCTTCAGTTGTGCCATCTGTTTTTAATTTTTTAATTTTTTTTACCGTTAATTTTAATTTGTAATCCCTGTTTGCCATTAAGGATTACTCGTTGTTGTTTTTTTTTTGTAATTCTTTACATAGCTCAACTCGGAGTATATTTATCAAACATTTTATTATATTCATAACAAAAGTACAATTTATAGTTTTATAAAACGATTTTGAAAATCTGTTAAAATGCAATACTTAACTGTAAATAGTTTTGTTATAAAACTGCGATAAGAAAAACCTTATGGAATAATTGGGTTATTAAGTCTGGCACGTTCACTAGTTACTTTCTATAAAAGGCTAAAAAATCGTTATCCTAAAATAATTCAAGTTTTTCTCATTAATGTTAAAACATCCTTCTGTTGTAACATATCCTCGTTGTTGCCTAATTTGCTATGTTGGAACATGGACCATTGGCCGGTCCTGTCTTAGTTCGTTTGGTTGGCTGTCCCTGTAACATTCTCAAGTCGTGTCTTCGCTTTCTGTCTCCTATCAGCTTCATGGCAGTCTTTATTGTCTCTGGTTTTAGGAAGTAGGCAGATACCTGCAGTGTGGTATAAGGGTTAGTGCGGGTGTAAAAATATATGAGAAGGTAGTTAGCAATAAAACAACACTGTCGTTAAGCTTATGTATAATTACCAAATCAGTAGCGTAGCCAGGATCGTCTCATGGGGGGGGGGGGGGGGGTGTTCAAATTTTTTTTAGCAGTATATAACCCAGGGACAAACTTTCGATTTGCACCCCCCTCCAACTTTTGATTTGCATCCCCCCCCCCCCCTCAAACTTTCGATTTGCACACCCCCCCTTAAACTTTTTATTTCCACCCCCCCCCCCCCTCAAACTTTCGATTTGCACCCCCCCCCCTTAAACTTTTAATTTCCACCCCACCCCCCCCACCCTCAAAATTTCGATTTACACCCCCCCCCCCCGCTCAAACTTTCGATTTACCCCCCCCCCCTCAAACTTTATATATATACCGAGGGGTCTATGGAGGGGGGGGGGGTTATGAAACACCCCCCACCCCCCTGCCTAGGCCACTGAACCAAGTTCCTAGGCGATGAAACAGGATTTGATTGGACGCTCACGATAGAGCGCATAAACGGGAATAAGGGAATTATATGGAACCAGCTTCACTTTAGATCAGATGAAAAGCCAAAGTTTTAATTTAAACTTTATGGAACCGACATAACCATATCTCATAAAAAGCGAAAGGTTCTATGTGAAATGTACGACAACAATTCAATTTAATTTGTTTTTGAAACAAAAGTTTGAAAATTAAAAAAAAAAGATTATGTTAATAAAAGAAAATTTAAACTGAAATTTAGAAAAAAAATGTCATTTTTTTAAAAAAATCTTATTTTGTTAGATATTTTGGTAATTTTAGGAAGATTAATATAATCATATCTGTGTTTAAAAAATGTGTTATTGTATATATTTATCCAGATAAATGCTGAATAAAAAAATGCTGAGTCTTCTAAATCTGGTAGCGTCCCCCCAAATACAGAACGATCTTTAATTTATTTTAACTTAATTTCTTTTCACAAAATGGAACCCAATTTAAGGAGGGGAACCTCGCTAAAAATGAAAATTTCGTAAAATACATATCGTTATGTGAAAATGGCTACGGTGAATTAACTATGGGTGTCTAGTAAGTAATGTATTGCGTTTTATAATAGTGTACTACTGTATATACAAATGTACTGTACTACTGTACATAGAAATGTTTGTACTTCAAGATAGTGATGCTATTATAGTGATATAAATCTGTATGTTGGTCTGTATGGTGGTCTGTATGGTGGTCTGTATGGTGGTCTGTATGGTGGTCTGTATGGTGGTCTGTATGGTGGTCTGTATGGTGGTCTGTATGGTGGTCTGTATGTTTGGTGGTCTGTATGGTGGTCTGTATGGTGGTCTGTATGGTGGTCTGTATGGTGGTCTGTATGTTGGTCTGTATGGTGGTCTGTATGGTGGTCTGTATGGTGGTCTGTATGGTGGTCTGTATGGTGGTCTGTATGGTGGTCTGTATGGTGGTCTGTTTGGTGGTCTGTATGGTGGTCTGTATGTTTGTCTGTTTGGTGGTCTGTACGGTGGTCTGTATGGTGGTCTATATGGTGGTCTGTATGGTGGTCTGTATGGTGGTCTGTATGTTGTTCTGTATGGTGGTTTGTATGGTGGTTTGTATGGTGGTCTGTATTGTGGTCTGAATGGTGGTCTGTTTTATCTTTAGCTTACGTTAACACATCGTAAACGTCGACATTTCCGAACAAACTGTAGAAAGACGTCGTCAGTTGGAACATTGTCACTGTCTATGTCGCCCTCTAGCTTCACCAAGCTCTTTCTGTGGACAAAATGGGTATGAGTGTTAGTTGTTTCCCTTGAGCTAGAGTTATCTTTCCTATCCTAGTTTACTAACGACTAAGCAGGCAGCAGTTGATTTGAGTATTTGTCTAAATAT